TAATAATAATAATATAAATTTTATTTTATTTAGCGCCTTTAAAGGTGGCTCCTCAAAGCGCTTTACAGGATAACAACCGATGAAACAACAGTGGTTGGGGGTTGGAAATATCTGTGAAACTGGTTTGTTCACAATGTACTGTAGACACAGAGTGTTACACCAATGCATTAGCATGTTAAAGCGATTCCATTGAGGAGCCGGGCGTGATAATTGTTTTGTTCCTTGATTTTCCGATCTGCAAGGCCATTTGGCTGCAGCCAGTGTGAATTCAGTCTGGCATTACCAGACTGTGAAAAAATAAAAGTATTTTAATCAAGATTCCCTTATAAAATTAATGTCACACAAAACAAAAACTAAAAATAAGATACAATCTAAAGACATTCACAACATAAACATATCTTAAAACATTTTAATATATTGTTAAATGATTACTTTAAATATAAACTTTAGGTTACTGAAACAGCCAGTTAATAAAATTGTTGAAATTTTGTTCTTGTTTGGAGGTGGGGATTTTCTGACAACAATTGATTTAAAGACAATCTGTAAAGTGCAATGAAATACAATAATGAGGCTGGGTAAACGTTCCGAGGTCAAATTCTGCTGCTACAGGGGTACCTTTAAAGGGCAGATGACGGCACCGAAAAATTTTGGCTCGCCCTCTCTTTAAAGCCCTGGCCAAATACGAAGACAGTACATACAGTTATAATTCAAACTGAATTAAAAACTACTCCCATTTGGCATTTTAGTTATGGAGGCGGAAAGACGCCCCCCCATCTCTGGGTGACTGAGTTGTCGCCATCTTTAACCATTCCGTGTCTGTCGCAGTAGGTAGAGACATGTTTGAAAAAAAGTTCATCCCAGATACAATACATTATTTTTAATACTTTTGTGGTAAGAGGGAGCAAAACATCAGTATTTACTGCTAGTAATTAGTGTACGATCTATAGTTGAAATCTGAGCCTAAATATAAAGTTAAAATCTCACTGCACACACAGAAATATACAGAAAATAAGTCAGTTCTGATTTCAAATCAATTTCGATCAAGGTCTCAAAAACGAACAAGAAAAAGAGCATTTTCAGAGAGCAATTACGCTGTGTTTATGTAGAATAAGTGATTAGGTTTATGAGCAATCTAATTAGTTATTTGTTTAAAACGCTATATAAAATAAAGTTTATTATTAATTTGCTGGACAGAGTGGTGAACATTATTATGCAGAAGACAAAGATGACGATTTACGTTAAAAGACATTTAATTAAACACGGGTTTGTGAGTTTAATGGAAATGGGGGTGACGGGAACCCTTAATCTAAATAAAAATAAAATAAATAAAACAGGTTTCGATAGTTAATAACCACTTTTTATGCACGAAACACGGGTGATATTTCTTCCTCTTATTCAGCTTAGAAATCTGTGTATGCTGTAAGGTTTTTACTTCTTAATTAAACTTTTAAAATACGCATTTCGTATAGAAACAACATATGTTGTTGACTTCCTGGTGTAAAGAGCAGATCAGCAGATCTTTTTTCCCCAAACAGAGGGGTGTAAGATGGTGTCAGCCAATCACCATTCTGAAGCGCTACCGTAATATCTGGTATAGGGAGACCCCAGAATTCTGTCCCATAGTTTAGATAGATAGATGATAGATACTTTATTGATCCAGTGAGGGAAATAAAGTAAATCATTTTCATTTTAGGAAATTATGAAACACTCGGTTAAAAGTGTTTATTGTCTGTTAATTGTCTGTTATAGTGGACATAAAAACAAGAATTTGCTGCGGCGTTATTGGAAACCCAAATTTAACAAAAAATCGCTGGCATTATATCCTAGAAGACAAAGACCGGCGTCAGACCAGGAAAATGCCCATAGTGTAAAAGAAAATGCCTGATGAACTAGGGATTGGACAGTTTCCAAGTGCTTGTTCAATCGATGGAAATGTTCAAATAAATGTGCAAAAGAAATAAGCAAAATAAAAATTTATTTCTTTATCATAGTGGCTAGCTAATGTCCTCTCTTTGCTAGTTAGTGGCTGTGTTTCTGCGTTGGGTAGCAACAGGTGACTATATTCTCAGGCGGAAGATGTAAACAGCTTAATTTTCGTGTTAAATATTTTTTTTTAAATTAAAATTCATTCTATGCAGCAATCACATATCTGGGTACCGTTTCATAAAACTTAAAATGTTTAGGGAGAAATGGAAAACTGGTGTGTATTTTTTCTTTAAACTACCAAGACCAGCCATACACAGCACAGTTTTTATACAGTAATATGTTTATGTTCCTAACTTAATATCGTTTATGACCTTCAGATGTGTTATGCTCCTCTTCTTTTTATGCTCAGCTACTAAAATGTCACTTTAGTGGTAAAATTTCATATAAATATTCAATACTAAGCGGATTAAAATGTGCACAGTAAAGTGATTAAATGATTAAATCTTTTCACTACCGACCAATGCACCACGAGTGCCCCTGTCGGTCATTTTGGCCAGCTAATCACTTACCGCAGTGCACTGTGGTGGCTTGTGGGTAGTTGCATGCGTTACGGCTTTGTACCATGCATTTTGAATGGCTGCATCTGTATTTGAAATCTGTAGTTCACAAACATTCTTTTATTTACTGTATATTTTTAAACAGTGATTCAGTTTCGGTGATTGTTTAAAAAATATTATTACAAACCAGGATAACAAAATGTGAATCTCAATTTATGTGATTTCAGATAAATGCAAGGTGCTCTGTGTTTTTGGCATTTAGGTTGAGATTAAATTGCCATATAGTTAGTAAAAAGCTGTGCAAATTCAACAACAATGAAAGCTATGAATATGTGCTATTTAGCTAATGGAGATCACCTGTTTGTTATCACCTTGATTGAAGACAGGCTCGAGAATTAGAATGAGATAATGTACTTTAACAATAGTAAAGTCATCCAGAGAAATCAGGGTCACCACACCAGCCCAGGAGTGTCACATACAGTATGCCTGTTCCTTCTCTTAAATGTTTTCAGCTTGCAGTGAATACAGAAAGACTGTAGCTTACACTCTGACTGAGAGTAACTGAGAGATCATATTGCTGTCTTCTGTGGTTTGAAGAAGGTCTACTACTCTACTTGTTACCACCTCAGATTGTTTTATTCATTGATAATTTTGATTATCCTTGACAATCCATTTGATTTTTTTGCTACACTGATAATTCAGGTGTCAACTTGAATCAGTCAACAATGGAAGTGTGTCAGTATGGAGAGCAATTTCCTTTATCACAAGAATATCTTTGGTGCAGATTGAAGGTAATCTTACCATTGACAGAATTCTAGAAATTTTGGTTCTTTATTCTTGAATCTCGGTCTGTATCAATTTGTCATCAGGACAATGTAAAAATAACAAAAGGCTTAGATTACATTGACGTATTTTTGAACCCAATATCTTTGGGATTAATTCTCCAATGCTATTAACAAGTAACAACTGCAAACAGCCAGCCATTGCAAGCTCTCTACAGCTGCTAGGGAATCCCTGAGCATTATGTCCTGAAGTAGATCAAGGTCTATACTTCTGCACAGGGTTGTTTGGATGCTCAAGAAGGTCACATCTGATAGTAACTTTGTAATGGTAATATATTCCTTCTGACAGAATACCATTTTTACATTAAAAATGTGTGACAGATTTATAATTGAATAATTGAATGAATGTATTCAATAGGTGTGTTTAAATTATTTAAATGTAAAACTAAAATAATGTTAAAATCAATACCCGTGCTACATTTGTTGTGTATCAGCAGATTTTGTTTTGTTCTTGTATGGTTGTATCTTCAGGCCATAGTGTGAACAATATTGGACTTCATGTTCAGGGGCAAAACATCAAGAGCAGCAAACTGTAATGTGTTATGTTTGATCTTTTCTGATTAATAACAGCAAAGATATTCACTGAATCTTTTTGTTGCTAAACAAAATAGCTTATCTCCAATAGGCTATTTAATTAAACAAAATTTTGTTAGTTTTCTATGTGACATGCATAGATTTTGCACAGCAAAATGTTGTTAAATATTTACATTTCACTTAGTTTCTTAACAAAATCATTGGCCCCTTTACTCATCCATTAGCTTCAAAATGTGATGCCCACATAAGAGCTCAACATTAATACTCCAAAGTAGTTTTTTGTTATTTAATAGTTGTCTTGACTAATTCTGAAGTATTAAAAATATTCACCGTGCTTTATCCCCCTAAATACTGAAAAGAATAAAGTCCATAGTTTCTCTATACAACTGATATGCCCATATGTATTGAAAATACCTCCAACTAGTGATTGAGCAATGATTTCTTATGTACTGCTCTAGATTATGAAGAAACACAGTGGGTGTTTGGTCTTTCACTCACACACAGGAGTGTGATCACCAATCAGAAGAGGCCGGGTGTTCCCCCCAGTACTGCTGGTACCAGATATTCTGATGTTAAAGTGAATTCCTTCATGCCCTCTGTTTCTGTATGCAGGAGCTCAGAACAGCTGTCGTGAGGTCAGGGGAGCTTCTGAGATGTTCAGACTCTGGGTCACTCTTTGTCTTCTCTATAAATTCAGTAAGTTAAAACCTTGAATGTTTTTTTAACATTTTTATTAGATTATTGAGCTTTTATGGGAACCAAGTAAATGTAATATTGATATTTCCAAGGTAGTATAGTGTAACAAAATAATTGTAATTAATATTTTGTGTATCCTTTACTTAAATTATTGTTGTATGTTACTATATATTATCATTTTAAAATCCTATTGCATTGTTTTTTTCTTCAATACAGCAGAACTCCAGAACACCAAAATGGTTTTGTGAAAAGGTGTTTGAGCTTTTTTTGCTTAAAACATAAAGGAAACAAAAGCAGAAAAATGCAGACATTATGTTAGAACATTGATACAGGCTTCTTTTTGCAGTTGGGTTTGATGCTTTCCAAGCCAGAAAACGTGTTTAGAAAGTTTAGTAGAAACTTGTTAGTCCAGTAATTGTACAACATTTTAACATGCAATTATTGAATAACTTGTTTTTACTTTCAAGACTTCTTAGTTATTGGATTTAAGAAACGTTTAGAATTTTAAGGCATGGTGGCACAGTGGATAGCATTGCAGAACTGGGGCGCTAGATTCTGTTTTGGACCTGGAGTGCTATCTAGGTGGTATTTGTATGTTCTCCCTGTGTTTGCATGGGTTTCTTCCAGGTGCTCCAGTTTCCACCCACAGTCCAAAGGCATACAGGTAGGGTAATTGGCTTCCGGGAAAAATCATCTCTAGTGTGAGTGTGTGCATATATCTGTGTATGTCCTGTGATGGACTAGTGTCTCATCCAAGGTGTACCCCACCTTGCACCTGTTGCTTGCCAGGACAGGCTCCTCCGCAACCCTGAAGAATATTGGAAGAAGTGGTTATAAAATGTATGAATGGATAGAATGTTGATAAAATAAAACACATTTTGACAATTTTTAAAATAAAAATATGAACAAGAAAATAGTTGCTTTGTGAATGCAACTTTTAATGTATTTGTGTGTTTCAGGTGTGGTGGCTGAAGATTTTGTGTTCCAGCCTTGTCTCTCAGTGTCGACGAGGCACGGGGACTCTGTTACTCTGGAGTGCTACACTAACGCTCAGACACTCAAAACCTGGATTTGGGTGAAGTACATGATTGGACAGGCACCTAGGACTATAATTACCACATTCTATGAAAATGTTAATTTTTATGAAGAGTTTAAAAACACTTCACGTGTGACAGTAAAAAAGGATGACCGAAGCTTCAATGTTACATTTTTGCAGGTGGAATTATCAGATAGTGCAACATATTTTTGTGGTCTAGAGCTGTACAATTCATACTACTTTGGAAATGGAACCATTCTAATGGTTAAAGGTAAATCATATCATACTTTTTACTACTACTTGATGGTGTGTGAATTACAAAATCATTTTAATGATCTAATTGAATTTCCTTGGAGAATATATTTAATTTCAACTACTTTAGTTATGTTGTTAGCAATGCATTTCTCAATCAATACATCATTATTACATCAGTCTCTTTCTCTCTTGATAAATCAATTTCAGTAAACTAGTGTTTAGTTCTTCTCTAAACATGGAATGTATGACCAAATTAATCTGTCAGTGGTTCTCAAACGTTTTCAATGACGGAACCCTTTTCTGTCGAAGCTGATGTTGCAGATCTCAGGCAACCTTTTTTTTTACTTTTCAGGATTAGCTATGGTAGTGTTCTGCAAAAAGCATTCTAGGACTGCTATTCAGAGGCAATTTAGCTAATTATTAAGGAAAAAAAAACTAATGATTGCTTTTGTTTTAATTGTAAGCATCGCATGAACCCATTGAGTTTATTTTGGTTATTTATTAATCACATGATAACTTGTCTACGATTAGCACCCCTAGAGTTCATTAAAGCTTAATCACTGAAATACTCTTTGAGAATAAAATAGTCGATGTTCTAACGGCCGACCAAGTTAGGGTTTTCTTCTGGATTAAAAACTTTTATTTTTTTACGTTGTTACCAAAGGGAAAAAAAACCTCATAGATTTATAGAACCAGATTACACTTTCCATGGTCTAACCAGGGTGCAAAAAGGAAAAGAGATGGCAGCAAAGTCAAACACAGAGACAACAATAAATAATTTTTAACAAAACTTCAAACCAGCAGAAACAGCACAATCTCAATTTGATGACTGAGTTTGCCTCTTACTTCTACAATTTTTTTTTTTATATTTGGAGTTATAGATGTGAGTTGCAGTCTCATGTTTGGCTCTGCTTCCAATCTGTTGCAATAGTTTGTTTTTGTGGAAACATACGATGAAAATCTGGTGGTCACAAACAGGAGAGAAACAGAACGAGCTTTCCCTGATAATACTGGACATTTGTTTCTGGTGCTGCACCAAAACTCTGCCAACTGCAGTTCATTAAAAGCTATGTGTAAGGAAGAGTCTGAAATCAGGTCAATGAACTTCTCATTCTTGTGATATGAAGTCTCGAGGTTTCCCTGAAACAGGAGTAATTCTGCAGTTTTTCATGATGCTTGTTTGGGAAGTACTGCATGACAGACTCACAGACTCAAGTCTTTTAAATGTTGGATGATTTCTTCAGTGAGTTCATCAAGCACTTGGCCGTCTTCATGAAGCTTTTCACAAAAACTTTTCTTTAAAAAAAAATGTATTTTCTGAGCAAGCAATGAATCAACAATTTAAGCAGAAATTACACTAGATTCTAGCATGAGGGGGAAAATCTATTAACTAAACGCGATTTATGGACTTTTGTCTTATGTAAGTAAATAAATGCAGTGTGATATAGTGATAGTTCAAACATGTTTAATGCGTATGTTTATTATCTGTGGACAGGAAAGAGTTTTGTTTACATTATGGAGGCCGTTTAACAGGGCCACATATTAATAGCAGAATAATATTGTTTCTTATAATGTTAGTACTTTTTAATTTGTATAACTTTTGCACCCTCCTCCCTCCTCCCCCAGAAAACATTTTCTGCCATGGTAAGCAAAAGAGCTGCAAGAGAACTTTCCTTTTTTCACATTTTTTCTTTTTATTTTTTCTCTTGTGGTTGCAGTCATTTCTTAGCAATTTTTCTTCCTAGTAACAGGTTATTTTTTATCTCTCATTGCAAGAGTTTTTTAGATTTGCCAGATGGCGAAATTGTAACATTTTTTATCTTCAAATGAGATAGAAGAGCAGATGAAAATTTAATATGACAGCTTTGAGGTAATTTCTGGCTCTAGCAGCAAAAGTACAGAAATTTATTCAGAGAGTGAATTTGAAGATGATGTTTTGGAAGATATGCCTATTTTTTCTGACTCTTGGAGCCATGTAAAGCCTTCATAACTTACATATTTTATATTAATATTTTTATTGATAGCAAATTTTGATTTTTATTGTAGCTTATGTGAGAACTCACGTTCTGCGGAACACAGTTTGAAACCACTGATCTAAGTAATCTAAATAATTCACATTGTGCTGTAACTCTATACAAAGATGATCAGCTATCAAAGGTCTCATTCCTCAAAACCTTTTTAAGGTTGTGAGAATTTATGTAGTTACTACAATATTGCATTGCAGTACAAATGCATCACAGATTTCTAAAGAATTATTTGTGTTATTATGACAGTTTCTTGTTGAAAAGAAATTAATTGTTGCAACACAATTAATTGAGTGACCTCTGTCTGTGTTCAAAAATAGTGATATTGATACTGATACTGTCGGGTCCCTAAGTCAGGTAATGAATTTCAAGCAAAGATTCAACCATCAAGTTTTTCAAAGACCTTTAATATCTCTTTTATCATAGTGAAATCAATCATTAAGAAGTGGAAAGCACTCAAACGCTGCCTAGATCAGGCTTTCCTTCCAAACTGAGGAGCTGGACAAGGAGGAAACTGGTTGCCAAATTGAGGCCAACAGAGACTTAGAAATAGTTATTTAGAATAATAAAATTCAGTGACGAAGAAAGGGAGAAAATGTCCATAGGTCAACAATATCCCAGTCTCTCTAGAAAGGGAGCTTGCATGGAACTGAAATAAACACACTAAATACTATTGAGTTAATACTGCAGACATATGTTAAGGTTTTTTGGTCGGACAAAACAAAATTTGAACTTTCTGGTCTAAATGTAAAGAGGAATAGCTGATGCAATTCCAGCATGGAATATCACTCATTCAGCACTATCCCTACTGCCAAGTTTGATTGTGGTAGCATTATACAGTAGTTCATAATATAATTCTGCTTCACCAGGGACTGGGAAGCTTGTCAAGGTTGATAGGAGGATAGATGGAGCAAAGGAAACTCAAATGTTAGAGGAAAACATGCTTTAAACCTAAAACTCCACTTTTTGCAGGACATGAACGAAAGCACAAGGGCAAAATTACACTGGCTTATGAGAAATGTCCCTGAGTAGCTTAGTTAAGTCCTGATTTCAATTCCTATTGATTATTTGAAAGACTTGCAAACTGCTGTCCATAACAAATCTCCAAATAACCTGAGAGAGCTTCATGAAGTTCTAATGTAATATACCATATTTAGATATATAGAGTACTGATTGCTGTTGGTATGATCAGACTTTTTTTTTCACTGTGGTAAAAGTTGCACTTTTGGCATTTTGGCATGACCACAGAAACCAAGAAAGGAGCTCTACCTGAAGAAGCAGAGGTCTGATCAGTGAAAACAAAGTCTGTAACATTCCTTTGCCAATTATATTTTATTAACATAGTAAGAAAAGAAAACCATTAAAAACATCATCCAAGAGGTCTTGCCAGCTGATCCAGAGGTCACAATTGAAAGAAGGTCCAACAAGACAGGAAAATACTTGAATTAGTGCAATCCAATGTTAATACAATATCAAAACTGAACCATGACTAGTGTTTTCCACTGATACAAAAATATTAATAAAACCAAACAGTTAAAGTCATCAATAGAATATGATTTCAAACTGATATCTGCCAATTAACTGGAGTAACTTTAGCAATATAATAAGAGTGGCAAGACATTTTGGACATATCTTCATTTCTTATGAAATACCTCGTGAAGTAGACTTTAATGCATCATTATTTATGAATAACACTGAATATTCTCAGGTATGAATTGTGCATATACACTACTGTATACTGTATGTATAATAAGATTAAATAGTAGATGGTTTTGCATTTTTTCTCATGTGTGTACTTTGTTCTTTATTTAAATGTATATATGCTGTATCTTCAGTTTTTTGTATTTAAAAATGTACACATTACATGTCAATTTGGGAGTATTTGGTGTGCCAATAATATTTTATTATACAGAACTTATTTTCTTTTTCCAGGAACAGAAGCAATCAGCATCAGTGTTGTACAGCAGCCTGTGGTTGGCTCAGTCCAGACAGGAGATGATGTGACACTGAAGTGTATAATCCATACTGAGATCTATGCAGAGAAACATAATGTTTATTGGTTCAGACATGGTTCAGGAAAATCCCTTCCAGGAATAATTTACGTTGATGGAAACAGGAGTGATCAATGTGAGAGGAACTCTGAGGCTGGACTTCCAACACAGAGCTGTGTCTATAACCTCCCCAAGAAGAACATCAGCCCCTCTGATGTTGGAACTTACTACTGTGCTTTGGTCACATGTGGGCAGATCCTTTATGGAAATGGGTCATTGTTGGACATTGCAGGTATATGTTTTTTATTATTTTGATGTGAAATAAAACATGCATGCAGTAATAACAGATTATGAATTTTTATTGCGGGCGGTGCGGTGCATCTGCGGCTAAGGATCTGCGCCTGTGACCTGAAGGTTGCTAGTTCATATCCAGCGGGCGGCAGAGGAATCCTACTCCGTTGGGCCCCTGAGTAAGGCCCGTAACCCCAACTGCTCTGAAGGTGCTGTATAAATGGCTGACCCTGCACTCAAACCCCAAGCTTCTCTCCCTATCAGTGTGCCTCATGGAGAGCAAGTTGAGGTATACGAAAAGACAAATGCCTAATACAAGAAATTGTATATGGCAAATAAAGTAAACTTATCTTATTATATTGTGCACTGTTTATAGCAATACTACACATCTACAACTCTCAGATTTAACACATTGAAAATAAAGTATCTTTATGGCTTGAAAAATTGCATGTTTTCTACATTGCAGTTGTAAGCAGATTTGATCGCACTGTCCTGGCCTTGGGAGCAACAAACGCTGTATGTGTGATTGTGATAATTGTTCTCATCTGTACCAGAAACAAACACTGTGCAGGTAAGCTGTCTGCTAATCACACTGCAAACAGATGTTTAATGTAAACTATTCATATTCTTGATGAAATTGCTGATCCATAATAGGAATACCAGAGAAGGGGTAAGACAACGATTCAACTAAGCCTGTCTCCATAAACTATACAGTTTTACTCCTATAAAGTTAAATGATTAAATAATTAAATCATTTTGAATGTAATGACTATGTGAGATTTTTCACCTATAATAATGTACAGTACAGGTTATTTTGTATTTACTATGGCTACTTAACAAAGCTGGTTCACATACCGTATAAGGTGATGATTGTAAAACAACTGCAACAACTCTTCTAAATGTTGTCTCTTCTGTAATATTTTGATTATGAGTGAATTGTATGCTTAAAAAATAATGAATTGTTTTATTTTGAATACAGTGAATCTGCAAATATGTCATGGTTGTGTTAATACTGACCCCACAAGGAATCAGGTAAATTAACACTTGTATTCAGGGTGTCAATTAAATGGCACTCATTACTATGAAAAAAAGTAAAATTATTTTATACTGTTATTTTATTTGATCAATGCTACCTACAAGCAGCTTGCATTTCTACTGAATTACACAACAGGACATTTTACTGGAGCAATATGAATGGACTACATTCCTCAAGGTACAAAAGTGAGATTTAAACCCATAACTCTGTGGCGTTAACCCTCATGGTTCTAGAGCCCAAAACACTATATTTTTCTACTACTGTATACAGTAGATATATACAGTATGTGTGTGTGTGTGTGTGTGTGTGTTATTTTCAACATATCCACCCAATGTACAATTGTTTAGCAATGCGCTTTATAGCTACATCTTCTGTATCACACACAGACAATGAGAACTATGGACTAGCTCATATTTCACAGACCTTCATATAGCATGCTGTAAGCTCCACACTGTTCTACAGGAGGCTGCAGGTGCATTAATGGCATTAATTAATGGCTCAGCACTAAACATACTTTCAGATTCTAGATGAATAAGCCCCTTTTGTCAACTCATTAGTGCTTAAACATTTGTGAACTACTGAATGGGGAATCCAGATCATGCTAATGCCATGACCCACTGTGACAGAGGGATCTCTGTCACCGTCCGCAGACAGTACATAACAAGACATTCATTATCCATCTTAAGTTACACACGATCTCTCATACACTTTCCTGTCAGCTAGCTAGCTCATGAGGGTGCACATTCGAGGCTTGGCTAGCAGTCTCTTATTTCATACACACTATACATTAACACCTCTTATTTCAAACCAGTTCCTGTTTCATGAAGATACATATACATAAACTCTGTAGTCTATTGTCATTTTTCTCTTTATTTGTACTTATCTGTGTGAGAGAGCGCTTTGTCTGTTTGTCTGTCTCTTCCGTGTTGCTATTCGACTTCCAGGTATAGTGGCCTCATTGGTCCAAACCAATACCCATTGTCAGCTTGGCTTTATATTCTCAAAGCAGAATGGTGCATGCGCACATCTTCCATTAAAGGAAGTACCATTTTTTCGGGAGGTTAAAGATAAGTTAAAAGTATTCAGAGTTGGTATTTTTCTTTTGTACATTCTGTTTACTCTATTCTTTAAAAATAAAAAGGAATTCCCATGTTAGAGAAATTAGTTTATCTGGGCTGAAATGCAGCTCCATAGTTTTGTAACAGTGGTACAGTCCAAGGGGGCAGGGCTATATGGTACCTATTTAGGAGTGGGGGAGATAGATCTAGGGGGACTGAGTCACGCTATTGCTCTAGTGTGGAGCTGATAAGACTTAGGTTAAGTAGAACTCTTGATCTCTTTCTTAGAGAAAGGTTTTTGTTGTGGGTGTAATAGTTCCAATTTTTTGTGTTTTTTTTTGCTATATATAATTGTTTGTTGGGAACATTGTCTTAATATTCCATCATCTTTGCACCTAAGTGCAATTGCGGCTGAGCCATCATTTTGTTTTAAAAGGACTCACTTGGGCACCCCTCCTGCTCTCTCGGTAACACTCACAAACGGTTAGCATGTCATTCATAGAGTTCAAGTACTGCTCTTATTTCTTGCAAGTGCCAATACTGGCTAAGACAATTGAGGAAGAGTGCTATCTCCACCAATCTAACCCCTTACTTTTGGTGAGGGTTGTAGTGGTAACTGGCTGAATGGAGGTTCTACCAAATCCTTTTAAGTAGTTGTATGCTTTCCTCCACAATATGCAGTATTTGAAGTATCAACTACTTATTTACATTTCAATTTAAAGTGTCCAAAGGCTTTAACACAGAAGTGACACTTGCTGACTACACTGGAAACTTAGTGTGTGATTGTTTTCCAAAAACTAACACGTCACTGAAGTAAGGAGACCTAATCCCCACAGCATTTGATTTATTGCACACTGCTGCTTTGAGAAGCATATTTGCAGTAGGCTCCTTATATTTATTAATGGTAAATGGTATGCCCGTGCTGAAGACCTCAAGCCATCCATCTTTCTTCCACAGTTCATACTTAATTTTTATTAGTGATGTGTACTAATCTGACACTGATGTGGCTGTCTTTATTCTATCTAATTGCATCTCTGACATAAAAATTTGGATGACTCAAAACTTCCTTCATCTTAACTGTGACAAGACTGAAGTCATGCTTATTGGTACCCCCCATCAACTTCGTAAAGCCAGTCCTGTAACCCTGTCTGTAGATGGCTCTGTACTTGAGCTTCAATCAAAATTGAAAAAACCTTGGGGTTATATTAGATTCTGGCTTAACATTTGACCCACATGTGCAGCATACTGTCAAAACATCTTTTTTTCACCTTAGAAATATCGCAAGACTACGCCCTATGCTATCATTAACTGTGGCTGAAAGCTGATCAACATATTTGTATTATCTCGAATTGACTGCAATGCTCTACTCGCTGGGGTATCTAAACCTACTCTGAACAAACTGCAGTATGTCCAAAATTCAGAAGCCAGAATCCTGACCAGGTCTAGTGCAAGTGTTCACATTATTCCTATACTAGAGTCCTTGCACTGGCTTCCGGTCAAATTCCGCGTAGACTTTAAAATCCTCATGCTCACCTATAAGGCTTTACATGGCTTGGCACCTCAATACCTGTCTGAACTATTATCGCCCTACTCCCCACCTTGCAACCTCCGCTCTTCAAATTCTGCCTTCCTTACTGTCCTCCAAGTCCGTCTACATTGTATGGGTGACAAGGCCTTCTCCTGTTATGCCCAAAAGCTCTGGAACTCTTTGCCCAAGGATATCAGAGAGTCACCTTCTCTAAACTCCTTCAAATCCAGACTCAAAACCTTCTTCTTCAGAAAAGCCTTTACTTAACTGGTTCCATTCTTCACCCCTCTGCTTTTCTTAGTACCACCTTCCACGGTCTCCTCTATTGTTATTGTTGTATTGTTGTAATTGTAATTGTGTCTTATCTTGTGTATTCTTCTTATTTATTGTTGTATTCTTCTTATTTATTGTTATTGTCATCCTGTAAAGTGCTTTGAGAAGCCACCTTTAAAGGTGCTATAAAAAATAAAGTTTATTTTTATTATTATTATTAATCTGAAGATGATGGATTTTATTTTCTACTCTACTTCAATAAAATGTGTTTTACTTATGTTGAATATAATTATGTTGTTTTTTTTCAGGACACAGATATGTTGAATTATGCCCCCTTGAATTTTACTCACAACAAAACCTCATCTGGGTGGAAGAGCAGAGAGATTGACACACAGGTTGTGTATGCTGATGTGAGAAGTCAACAGTGTGGCTGAATACCACAGCCACATCATCACAGTGCGTGAGACACAAAGACAACAGCTGATCCTTCTCAACACAAAAGTATTGTTTTTAAGAATCAAGGCCATTCATTTATACATTTTATTATCTACTGTTTATATTGTGTTTGTCTGCCGCACTTATATTCAATTCGATTCTGTCTTTTCCTTCCGTGTTTGTACTGTCATGATGTTTTTCTTCAAAATCAATAAAGTAAAATAAACAGTAGCGAAGCTTGACTCATACATACATATACATACATATACATACATATCTATCCCATACTACCTCAGCAACTTCTTCTATGCAGCAATATTCTACAATGTTCTAAATATATATATATATCTTCAAAATGTGATTATAAGTTGTTTTATTGAAAAAATAACCTTGGAATAAGGCTTATTAATACCAAAAGTTAGCTTACAGGGTATACAGTGTAGCGGCAATGCTTGTTAATAAGGCAGAATTAAGTGTTGCTATGCTTTCCCAAATGAGGCCCCATCTCTCTGTTCATCTCTGTGGTGCAGCCTGCTTTCCTAAGTGTCAGGAGTAAGTGACTCATATCTCACCTTGATCAACCAAGCAGGGACTGGTAGGGCCGAGTAACCCACATGAGACTCTGATGCCCATGGAACTTTCAGCCAATGAACGAGCTGAAGTTCCTCCAGGTAAAAACAGGCAACACAGAGGGCCCGAGAGACTATTTCAGACTATTCTAAAGGGAATTCAAAGGAGAATTCCAGGGCAGGACGGCCCAGGAGCAGAAGGCTCCCAAGGGCAGGACATTCTCACAGAGCGCCTCCTGACCATCCTGAGATGTGCATAACCAAAGGATCCAGCGAGGTTAGCATCAGCAGCAAGCCTCGTGAACAGGTTGGAAATGTGGACAGTTGAATCAGTATTCAGAACTAGAGCTACATCAGGAATGAACCGGTCTTCTTCCTGACCTGCTGGGACCCACAGTCATCTTTTCTCCTGTGCACAAACTTTGCTAGTTAAAGCCAACACTAACTAGCTGGTCAGTGAGCATCAGCAGCGCACCGTCGCAAGCCGCGCAGCGCACCGCCGCAAGCCGCACAGCAAAGCCTGGCACGGAGCCAGAGAGCCCGCAGGAGATCTGAATCCCCAGAGATTGGATAAGTATTCAACTTCAATGCATTACAGCTCGAGAATTCAATTTTTATCCCAACCAGTTGATATCAATTTAATTCCTAAGAGTTATGTACTTGTTTTGAGTATCTAATGTAGAAGTTGTAACCAAGTTCGATTACGAACCGGTCTAAATGAATGATATACTGAACTTATGTCCTCTTGATATATGTAACTCTTCGTAACTGAATGAATATATACCATTTGTATTCTGATAACCCTCACGTTAAGATCTGTTAGGTTTACATGCATATTCTATGTATTAATAAATGTATCCTCGTGTATTAGTACCTGTGTGTGTGCGTTGTTTGAGTTATATCGCATGGTTGGATTCTAAGGCCATCAAAAGAATCATTTTGTGATTTACTGCTACAATTAATAATTGTCCCAGTAAATGCCCAAACCCCTAAGAACTGATGCCATCAGAGAGCACACTACAAAAGTTAAAAATCACATAGAATTTGGGGGTTATGAATAATTATTTATTACCTTAACCGCTCATAACCCCCCCATTTGTAAAAGTATTGTTTAACAGAAATTCCAGAGGAGGTCAAATTCTAATTTTGCACTTCTGCTCTACTATCTATAAGTACTCTTGTTTGTCTACAACTCTCCACCTATTTTTTTCTAGCATTCTGCATTATAATCTCATTAGAAGAAGATAAGCTCTTCATGAGCAACCAGCTCTTATGCCTCAGAATTCTTCATGGAAAACAATTGGATTTGCCTCTCAAATTCTGTTGTGCTCTTTCTTTCAGTTCTCCTTATACTGCCGATTCTCTCTGAAACTTTGAACATCTGCAGCCATGTGGTCCACCTTTCTCTCTTCTCCTAATCCCACTCTTCTTCTAATCTTTCTACCCCTCCTTTTCTCTCTATTTCTGAGAGTCCAACCTGTAGGTATCCTCTCATGAGGCACCAGTAAATGTAGGGGTTTGTGCATAACTGGGACAATTATTAATTGTAGCAATAAGTCACAGAATGATTCTTCTGATGGTATTAGAATCCAACCTTGCGGGATAACTCAAACAACGCACGCACACGGGTACTAATACACGAAAATACATTTATTAATACATAAAATGTGCATATAAACATAACAGATCTTATCATGAGGGTTAGCAGAATACAACAGGTATATATTCAGTCACGAAGAGTTACAAATACCAGGAGGGACATTCAGTTCAGTATATCATTCATTTAGACCGTTTCGTAAATTAACTTGGATTACAACTTCTACACTAGATACTCAAAACAAGTACATCACTCATAGGAATTAAATTGATATCAACTGGTTGGGATAACAATTGAATTCTCGAGCTGTAATGCAGAAAGTTGAATACTCATCCAATCTCTGTGGATTCAGATCTCCCGCTGACACAAAGAAGCAGTGGCAGACTTGTTTCTGTCCAATCGGCGCTCTCTGGCTCGGTGCCAGGCAGTGTTTGGTGCGGCTTGCTACATGGTGGAGATTCCTGCTGCAATGCGTTGCTGATGCTCTCTGAAAACCAGCTCGTAAGTGTTGGCTGAAACTAGCAAAGTTTGTGCACAGGAGAAAGTGACTGCAGGTCCCAGCAGGTCAGGAAGAACACCGGTTCATTTCTGATGTAGCTCTAGTTCTGAATACTGATTCAACTGTCCACAGTTCCAACCTGTTCACGAGGCTTGCTGCTGATGCTAACCTCGGCTGGATCCTTTGGTTATGCGCTGGCAACCTCTGTCCTCTACTCTTAGAACAAAGGACAGTTCTGGCACTTGGACACACTGTCTGTTATGTGGTGGTCCGGGCTGAGTTTGAGGATGTTATGGAGGAGCCCTGAGGCTGAATGTCCAGCAGGTGCACTGCGAGAATGTCCTGCTCCTGGGAACTGTTCTACAGGCGCTCTGTGTTGCCTGTTTTGCCTGGAGGAACTGCAGGTCGTTCATTGGTTGAAAGTTTCATGGACATCAGAGACCCACGTGGGGTTAACCTGCCCTACCAGTTCCTGATTGGCTGATGATGAGTAACCATGCACTTAGAGTTGTAAACCAACTTTGATAACACTTTCCCTTGGAATCTCAGTATTTAAGGCACCAGAGATGAACATTTATTAAGGTTGCTGGAGAACCTGAGCATTTGGGGAGCTGTTTCTTATCAGGACACTCTATCAGCTAGAAAAACACCTTAATTGTGAACCAAATTAAATGGCCTCTCTGTATCAGGCACCACTGAGATGCAGGAGAGAGGGACTGGCAAGGGAGCAGAAAACTTCATTCCTGTATTTTAATAACCCTCGTCGCTACAAACCGATAACAAATACTGCCCCAGCCAGAAGAAGTCACTGGAGTCTGTCATTGCCTTTGGACAGGAGCTGTATGCTTGAAGGTCTCGACAGCACTACCTTGAAATATACTGATATTTATAAGTCTGAACTATATTTCAGAAGACACAGAGACTAAAGTTTTCGGCGCCGGCAAAGATGGCGATAATTAGAGGTCAGCTCATACTTAGTTTTTACGTTTCTGTGTTTATATATGTGTTTTTCGGCTTTTTCAGATTTGGATCAGCCATTATAAGATTTTACATCCGAGGGAAGATATGGTCAACCTTGTCCTGGGGGAGGGTTTTATTTCAAAACTTCGCCCCCGAGACAAACAGAGCTGGCAGCCCCGGGCCCAAACACAGGAGGAGGAGGGGGAGAAAGAGTGGACACCTGGCACGATTGCGGAGACGTTCGTTCAGACCCGCATTGCTGTCTATATTGCTAGCAAATGTACAATTGCTAGATAATAAGATAGATGAACTGCATAGTCGGATTAATTCCAAGTGAGAGGTGAGGTAATGTGTTTTCTGTTTTACTGATCCTGGCTAAACGCAAACATCCCTGACTCAGCTGTGCAGCCCTTAGGATTTACAGTAAACCGCACAGACCGCTCTCCTGAAAACACCAGCAAACAAGCAGGAGGTGGCATGTGATTTCTCATCAACAGCTCCTGGTGCACAGACACTAAGGTACTGTCTCAATTTTGTTTAATTTCGAGTACCGTCATGTTAAAATGCCAGCCCTTTTATCTACCTAGAGAATTCAGCTCTGTTATTTTAACCGCTGTGTACATCCAGCCACAAGCAAACACTGAGGTGGCGCTTGGTGAACTGTACAGCGTGATAAACAACCAGGAAAGTTTGAATCCCGATGCTGCGTTTATCATTATGTGGGACTGCAATCTCAGGAAAGTTTTGCCAATATTTCACCAGGATGTCGCCACGGCGACCATAGGCTGTAACACCCTCTACCACTGTTACACAACCATTGAAGGAGTGTATCATGCCCTGCTCTTACCACACTTTGGAAAATCAGACCATGCCTCTGTCTTGATGCGACCAGGATACAAGCAGAAACTAAAAGCCTCACCCCCTGCGGAGAGGACTGTGCAGTGCTGGACCAGTGAGTGGAGCAACAGCTCTGCTTTGAATGCACAGACTGGAGCATGATGAAAGACTCAGCCACAGACATCAACGAATTTGCAGAGACAGTTATACAGTATACCAAATACTGTGTTGATATGTGTGTTCCAACTAAAAGAATTAAGTCATACCCCGATTAAAAACCATGGTTCAACAATTACATCAAAGCCAAGCTGAAGGAGCGCTCTGTGCTATTCAACTCTTGAGACCCTGGGCTGTACAGGAAAGCCAGGTATGACCTGGAGAGGGCCATCAGACATGTGAAAAGGGACTACAGAGACAGGCTTGAAATGCAATGTTGGGGCATTAACACAATGTGCCTCTGGAATGGCCTGAGGACTATCACTAATTACAAAGGACAAATGGGTGTTCTAAGAACAGCTGATGATTCACTGTGTAGTGGCGAGGCTTATTAATAAGGCAGAATTAAGTGTTTCTGAGCTTTCCCAAAGTAGGCCCCATCTCTCTGTTCATCTCTGTGGTGCAGCCACAGAGAAACTATTCATGCAGGCTGATTTAAGGTGCCTTTGCTAAGGTTTCCTAGGACAGCTCCCAAAGGGGGATGCACTTAGCTAAGCCTGGCTATCATGATCAATGGTCATCCA